GGCACCATTTGCTTCTGCTGCTGCTGCTGTCGAGCCTTCGCCTCGGCGTGGTGGACAATCTGCCGAACCTCAGCTTCGACCCGAGCCTGCTCTTGCGAGTCTAATGCAGCGGAACTACCAGAAACCGCGCCACCTGCGCCAACTGCGCCTTTGGACGAAGCAGCGGAAGCGGAGTGACCCGCGGAAAGCCCCCGGGGAAGCTCCGCGGAGCTTCCGCCGATCGGCTCTCGGCCATGTCCCCGCCCCCAGTCCCCCCGCTCCGCAGAAACCCGCCTTTCCCCCTGCTGACGTGGCCGCGCTCTGCTGCGATCCCTTGCCGCCCAGGCGGCCGCGCGAGCCGCGCGGTGGGAAGGCGTCTCGACCGGCGGCACGTAATGATGGCGGAGGTGATGCTGACGTGGATGTTCTGGCTGCTGACGTGGCTGCGGGTGGTTGGGTTGGGCTAAGGTCCCGTGGGGAGCCCCGTTGCTACTGCTACTACTACTGCTGTTACTGCTATTACTGCTGCGGCTGCTGCCGCTTGCACTGGCGGCATCTCTCCTAAAGCTGCCGTCAGTTGCGGCGCTTCGGGGGCTGTTCAAGAACCTAGGGGTTGCCGCGCTGCCCCCGCGCCTGCGCGGGTGGTGGCGGGGGCTTGCGCCGAACCTCCCGCGGTTCTGCGCGTGCGTCGGCGAGCGGGGATCGCGCGCGCCTTGGCGGACCCACGAAGGTATCTGCGACGTTTGAGGCTCCATTTCTCGCTAAAGAGCGCCGTCAGTTCGCCACTTTATCAGGCTGTCCAGATTTCCCCGATTGGCTTTTGGACCCCCTCACAAGTCACCTCGCTTTACCGTCTCCTTTTTTTTTCAGAAATGTCCCGTTGTCTGGCTGTCATCCTGCCAGCTGCCTCTCGAGAGCCGATTAAAGACTTAGGATGCACGGAGGGGGAATGCTCAGCACCCGAGACTCCATACAAACTGTTTGGAAAAGCGAGCAAGCTATGTGACAAGGACGACTGAGGGGGAGCACCAGAAGTGGCTGAGCGAAGGAGAAAGGGGGAAGGACAGAAGTGACGAGGGTGCGGAACATGAGCAGCAACACTGTTTGACGAAGAATTTTCGAAACCTGCTGCACCGGTTACAGATGCCCTCGAAACCAGACTTGCCCGTAACGACTTTCGTCGGAGTTGCTCTTTCTGCTCGCGACACCTTTCGCAAATCACGTTCCAAGCCCTCCGAGGATGAGAACGCAGCGGAAGAAACAGGGAGAAGTGCTGTAGAACAAGCCGCATCCAACCAATCCTGTCGCAAGGCGCGCAATCTCGACTTGTGGTGGTGGGTGGGTGCGAGGTCGAGCAGTGCTGAGTCACATCGACGGACGAAAGTAAGTGAAATGACTGTTGGGGCCGACGGACGGATGGAAGTGCAGAGCTCAAACGGAGACCTTCGGTGAATGTGACCCGTTAGATCATCATAGACAGAGGTGCTGTTCGCCAGCAAATCGTTTCTTCAACAAGAAACGATGGCATCAGCATCGCGACCGCATACGGAAACGGGGGCGGAACCCTCCTCCTAGGTTTGGGCGAAATGCCGCCCGAGAAACTACGCGCCCCCGAAATGCGAAATTTCGCAACCGCATCGGGAAGGTCCACCCCCACTTTCCACCCCCCTTTGTTAAACAGCAGGCTTGTTGAAGGGTTCCCCTCTGAACAGCAATGCGTGGGCTGTGCCACCGCTGCGCTTTGAAAAACGCGGCATGACGGGGGCATGGCTAGGGGATGTCATTTTGCCTGGGGACGAAGATTCGTCCCCGCTTCCCGATGCCGTCGATTCGTTAGAAATGGTGCACAAAAGTGGGCGTTCGCCAGACGCCCACTTTGTTTGTTGGTTTGGACAGTTGGTGAGGCTCGGCACTTTTTTCACGGGCTGACCAAGCTGACGGAGGTTAACGAACTCTAACTGACGGGATCAGGAAGGCGAGACCCACCTTCCTGATCCCGTCGTTATCCCCCCGTTTTTGGATACATTGGTGCTGGCGAACAGCACCAGACTTTTTGCAGCACATTGGATCACCGAGGCCGTTTTGCGTTCTGTGCAGCATCCGCGCTTCGAGATGGGGCAGGCTGACAGAATTATCAGAAATGCTTGCGACAAGCTGATTTGATTGGCGGCAGACAGGAGACGTGTATTGATCGTGGTGAAGTGGACTGCTACGAGGCAATTGACCAATCAGCTGAGAGGAAGCAATCACCTGAACGGGGCCAATCGTGCGAACGAAGTCCTGACAGCTCAAAGTTTCCGTTTTAGACACACTATTCCCCGTAAGCTTCGATTGCTTGCAAGGGAAGAACAATCCACTAACTGAAAAACTGGTCAACATGAATGAAACGAGCAATGTCAACCCCGCCTCCTCTTTCCCTGGCGCCGGCCTCCTTTACCCTTCTTTCCTTTTGAAATCTTCTCACCATTCTCTATATTAGATTTCGCAGTCTCTGTATTACCCCTGGCATTCTCGGCTCCACCTGTCGTGCTAGCTGCAACTGTTTTCACCGCCAATCGCGGCTTCGTATCAAGCATCGAGCGCGGAAGAATGGAGACGGCACAGAAAGGAGGACCCCGTGCGAGCGGAACAATCTCAACAACCACTGCAAACTGTGAAAGAAAGGAAGGAAGGAAATAGAGAAAAAATGGAATGAAAAAGGAAAGAAAAGTAGAAAGGAATGAAATGAAGGAAGCAAGAAATATGTTGGTGGTTGGTGAGGGTTGGGCTCCCCACTTTAGAAAGCATACGCAGTGGATAACTTCTAGACATGGAAGACAGACGACGAACATACCCTTTGGATATGAGAGCTGTACAGGTAAGATCACTTCTTAGCTGGAACCGAGGAGCCCCACAATAAGGCATTTTTCTACTCAAGGCACTCGACAGTTGGTCCATAATCAACACTTCGTTTTTTACTGTTTATGTCTTACCTCTGGGTTAGTCAAGTTAGCCGCAGCACCTCGCTTCCCAGAAGCTTCCTTCACGGCATCAGCCACAGTCCTAATCACAACATCACGACTCAACTCAACATCCTCCTCCCCTTTCCCCCTCTCGTCCTCCTCCTCTCCCGCATTTCCTTCTCTCTGTCTCTCTGCCTTCTCCTTCTCCTTCTTGGCCGTCTCTTTGGCTGCAGCGCCTGAATCCTCTGCCCCTCGTTTCTTAAGCGCAACTGCAAACTGGAGAGGACGGGGGGAAAGCTTGATTAGCTAGCTCCAAAGAGTTGGCTACATATAAGTGTTACCCTTCCAGTATCAGAACGATTCCCCACTGTTACTTTCTTCCTTTGGGTCGGCCAAAACAAGGGTAAATCAACAGAAGGATCATCTCACACAGAAAATGAGTAATTGTTGTTAGTCAGGTCTGAAACAATACCTGTATGGGAGGTAGAAGCTGCTGTGGTGCTGCTGGGGGTTCTGCTGCTTCTAGGGGTTCTGCTGCTGTCTCAGAACCATTCAACCGTGGCTCCTCCACTCCCACTTCTGCTCCCCCTCCTGCTGCTGCTGCTGGTGTGGATGTTGGTGTTGGTGATGATGTTCCTGCTGGTTTTGCTGGCGATGCTGCTGCAAAGTGATTGGTCAGCAAACGACAAACAGTGGTTGACAGGTGGCGCTTCGTGGTTGGGCACGTGGCCTGCACAGGGCAGATGCGCTGGCACCACCTGATTGGAGCGATAGAGGAGGGGGGTTTGAGAGATTTTTGGGGGGTGGGATAGGGGGGAGTGAGTGGGGCGGGTGCACAACTGTGGGACAGGTAGATGCGAGAGCAGGACAAGAACAGTGGGAAGAGGGGAGTGAGAGAGGAGATGAAAGGAGTGTGTGTGAGAGAGCATATGTGAAAGAATGGGGCTGCAGCAGCATTGAATGAGAAACAGGGGAAAAATTAAGAAGGGATGGAGATGGAGGATGGATACGGGGAGAAATAGGAGGGAAGGAGGGAGCGGAGAAGGAAGGGAGAGGGAGGGAGGGAGGGAGGGAGGGAGGGAGGGAGGGAGGGAGGGAGGGAGGGAGGGAGGGAGGGAGGGAGGGAGGGAGGGAGGGAGGGAGGGAGGGAGGGAGGGAGGGAGGGAAGGAGGGGGGGAGGGAGGGAGGGAGAAAGGGAGGGAGGGGATAAGCTAGCAAAAGTGGGAGAGAGTTGAAGGTAGAGAACAGAAGGGGAGCAAGGCAGACGTGACAGGCAGAAGGGGAGAGTAGCAATGAATTATAGTTTGAAGTGAGTGGAGAGGAGTGGAGTGGAGTGGGACACTCACTTGAGGCTGCTCCTCTTCGTTTCATTGATGTCCTTCAGAATCTGAAACGCTACTTTGAGGCACCTCATAACTCAGAAGCAAGGAGAGGCAGGGAGCCGAGGGGGGTTGGAGTGGGGTGGAGTGGAGTGCAGTGGAGTGCAGTGGTTGCAACACTCACTTGAGGCCGCTCCTCTTCTTCTCATTGATGACCTTCAGAATCTGCCCGACAACATCCACAGGGCAGGGCACCTCGCTGCCCGGCACACAATTTTCCTTCTCGGGCAGCGCCAGAAAAGTTATTCCCATGCTGCCCAGCTTGACCGCCCCTAGCCCGGCCTTAAGAGCGTCTTCCGCTGCACTCGCATCCTGCTCTGCCTTGCTAACCTTCATTGCCTTACCCTCCTCTGTCTCCATAACTGTCTTTTCACAATCTTCTGCCGCTGCCTTATCCTCCTTATCCTTTGCACCATCCTCCCCCTCTTCCACTGTGCTTCGCTCTGCATTACCTCCCTCCTTCGTTCCCCCTTCCTCTTTCCCCTCCTCCTCCCCCTCCCCTTTCCCCTCCTCTTCCCCCTTCAGTTTCCCCTCCTCTCCCCTCTCCTCTCCCGTCTCTACTCTCTGTCTCTTGGCCGCAGCACTCCCTTCAAGCCCCACAATCGAATCAGCTCCGTGTTTCCCCTCCTCCGCTGCCTCTAGCTCTTCCCCTTCAGTCACGCTCGCACACACTGCAGGCAGGTACTGGCACGGGGGAGAGGGGGCGGAGGGGGGGGTGGTAGCGGGGGAGGGACGGGTAAGTGAGAGAAGACTAATTATATTTTGAGTCGGACTCGAAAATTGGAGAGAGTGGGGGGGGGGGGGAAGGGAGGGGGGAAGGGGGGGGGAAGGGGGGGGGAAGGGGTTAGCGGGGGAGGGACGGGTAAGTGAGGGAAGGCTCATGATATTTTGAGTCGGACTCAGAAATGGGCACAACTTAAGAAATTGCTGGATTAGTTAAGAAAGTACGGACGTAAACAGTAAATGCAGTGCAGTGCAGCAAAGAAACCTTTCAGGAACCCTTATGGAGGTATACCTTAGGGAGGATGGAAAGCGCTTCTGACGTGGCGCTCTTCTCTCGGCCTGAACACACGCCCAGCACACGTCCAGCACACGCCAGGTATGCAGCAGACACACGCCAGGCACGCAATTCAGGTATGCATACATCGAGCAGTGCCGCACACACCAACAAGAATCAACGCTTACGAAATTAAGTTTTGAGGCGCCTCAATTCAGGCATGCATACATTAAGCAGTGCCGCACACACCATCAAGAATCAACGCATACAAAGTTATGTATGCTGGTAACGGGAGAACGAACTGAATGCAATAAAGAAAGGTGGGCGATATAGCTTGCCGATGATTGTTTAGTTTTTTCAAAAACTAAATCTGTAAGGGACAGGGTGAGCACGTACGGAAAGCGCACGTGATCAGAAACCCTTGAATCCCGCCACCATTTCCGGATCGGAGTAGCTCCTCCCGCCGGTAGTCGAATCGTGCCATCTTCAGCACCCCCGCGTGTCGATCCCACGGTGTCACCTCCCAATCGCTCTTAACCGTTGGATCCTGACTGACATTCTCCGCCGCTTTCGACGCGGATTCCTCCGCGGCAGCCGGCGCAGCAGACGCCATGGAATTCGCCTGCTGATTCCGAAAGGCGGCCCGGCTTTGGAAAGTCAAGGATGGCTGCGCGGTGCGAGAAATTAAGGACCAGTGGGACTCGAAGGTAAGGGTATGGTAGGGTATGGAGGTTATATGGGTAGGAAAGGGAAGCAGGGAAAGCAGTGACGACGGCAATCCCAAGTGGGGCAGAGCGGTGAGAGCCAGAAAAATGGGGCTCATTCGCGATTGTAGGTGTTCGTAATCATACCGACATTAGAACCGATAACGATTCCGGCCTTAAGTATCCTTTACCTCTTTGTTTACGAAAACAAATGTATTTATTTCACAGATGATCTAGCTCAAAGAAGTTTCAACTGAGCAACAATTACACTCTACCGATTCTAAATGAAGTTTTGAAATTACGTTACTCCTATTTCAACAAGATGTAGCTATGCGCTAGGTTTACGCAACCTAATACAAGTAACCTCCTACTCCTTGAAGTCATTACCATCAAGAACAGAGTTCGGACTACACCCCAAAATACCATCCTCCATAGCTTTATCCATCGACTCGTCCTTTGATGATAACGACAGCCGAGATGCGCCACCAACACCAACCACGTTCTTCATGCAACGTGCCACAGGAACCGGGGAAGATGGAGCAGAAAATATCATGAACCTGCCCCTGCGCTGTGATTGGCTGGCTCTTACCTCGGTCAACAAGCACTGATCCGGGAACGCACCAGGGGATGCAAACGAAACACCTGAAGGGTCTGACAGGAAAGCTACAGGACTTGACGGCGAGTGTAAGGGAGCTGGAGAGGAAGGAGGTGTAGAAAGAATGGTGGTAGTTTTGGTGCTTTCTCTGCTGCTGCTGCCTTCTCTGTCGAAGCTGGTGGTCACTCTAAGTCTGCCGCCTGCCTCGCTGCCTGCTCTACTACTGCCTCCACTGCTGCTGCACGGTCTCCTATTGACACCATCAGAACTACTGATAGTGTGGCAGCTGGAGTTTGGTTGTGCAGCTGTCCCCTTGTTGTGCTGCTGCTGCTGCTGCTGCTGCTGATGGTCGTGGTGGTGTTGGTGGTGCGGCTGCTGGTGGAGATGTTGCTGCTGCTGCTGCTGCTGCTGCTGCTGATGGTCGTGATGGTGGTGCGGCTGCTGATGGAAATGTTGCTGCTGAAGCTGGTGAGGGTGCTGCTGATGATGGTCGTGATGGTCGTGATGGTCGTGACGGTGTTGGTGGTGCGGCTGCTGATGGAAATGTTGCTGCTGATGCTGGTGAGGGTGCTTCTCGGGTTGGTGCTTGTGAAAATGTACCTGCTGCTGCTGATGGTGATGGTGATGCTGCCGATGCGCTTTCTGATTCACCTCCTCCTGCTTCCGATGCTGCCTCTGGTATAAAGGCCGCGGCATATGTTGCTGGTGATGCTGATGCTGATGCTGCTCTTTCACGTGCTCACCTCCCGCTCGTTTGAACCATGGATGATGCACGATGCGACTCGATCCAATCCGTCGATTGGGATCCACATCCAGCATCCGACGGATGAGATCCTTCGCCTCGTGCGAGATCAACGGCCAGTGACTGCCCGTCTCCAAATCCACCTCTCCCCTGCAAACCGCAGCAAATACCGCATTCTGGTTTTTACCAAAAAACGGTAGTGTACCAGAAAGGCAAGTGTACATTATCACACCTAAACTCCACACATCCACCTCGGGACCATACTCCCTCCCTCTGACAGTCTCAGGAGCCATGTAGAATGGGCTCCCCATCAACCCATGCAGCCTGCATCCTCGTTTTAAGACTCTCGCCAACCCGAAGTCAGCAATCTTAACTGTGAGGAAACTTGCTGTTAATGAGGCTGCTGATAACGAGGGCGGGGAGGGTTCAGCGGTTGAAGTTGATTCAGAGTCCATGCGGTCGGAGAAGTGCGTGGTGGAGAGGTTGCTGTCCGAGTAACGGGATGTGCTTGTAAGGAGGATGTTTTCGGGCTTCAAATCTCGGTGCACTACTCCCATCTCGTGCATCCTTGCCACAGCTGTTGCGAGTTGCCTAGGAGTCGGGGCACGCATGAACGCGGGAAAAGGGGAAAAAAGTGGGGGAGAAGAGGAACGGGGAGAAGGAAAGCGGTGATGGAGGGGGAAGGGGAGAGAGGGGAGGAGGGAATTGGGAGTGGGGAGGGCGAAAGAGGCGTACAGATATTGCTGGGTGTTGGAGAGCTGACGAGAAAAGTGGGTGGGGGTCTGATGAGGGAACTAATGAAGGAAAAGGCCGAGGAACAGGTGGGCGAGAGACCAGCAAACAAAGACAGCAAAGAAAGAGGCTGTGATGTAACGGAATGGGCCAAGACGGACCAGGTGAACGAAGCACAGTATTTTTGAGAATTCTCAAAAATACGGGATTGGAGAGGAAGGAGGGGAAAGGAAGAGCAAGCGGGCCAAGGTCCGGGAGTTGGAGGTTGGGGGGGAGGAAGGAAAGGGAGAGGCGGGGACGAGAGAGCGAGTCTGGGAGGGCTGGGGTGGAGGACATTGCATGGAGTAAGGGAGCCGACACACCTCATTATGTCGGCAGTTTGTCGTTCATCCAGCCTCTCACATCGTGCCACGTGTTCAAACAAATCTCCTCCCTCGCAGTGCTCCATCACCATGTGCACTGCAGATTTGTCCTCCAAAACATCCACCAATCGCACAAACCCCTTTTCATGCCCATTCCTGTAATAATCGTTATTGCCTTCTTTCTGATGTTTCTTTTTCACATTTGTACTGTCAACTTCTTGTACACTCCTGTTTGTACACCCAGCCTCTCGATCATCCGCGTCGCTGTTGTGATGACGGTTGGCGGTGCTCTGATCCGTTTCAGTCACGTCCGTTATCCGCACAAACTTCAAACACCGAGCTGCTGACACACCCCGCCCATTAATCTCCGCTTTCTCCCCGTGTTCTCTCACTCCATTCCGCCGCTCCCCCTCTACCTCGCGGATTGCTTCCCCCGCTCCTTCTCCGCGCGCAGTAACGTCCCAGCCTTCGTTGCGCCCTGCTTCCGCCTCTTGCCTCGCGTCCTGTTGTGTCTTATCTCCTTCCCCGCGCGTTTCTTGCGCCTGCTTTTTCCTCTGCGCTGCTTGCAACAGCAGCGGAATCAGCACCTCCGCGCGTAACTCGCGCATGGCCTCGGGAGTCTGCTGAACGGGGAATACGGAGAGGAAAAAGCGGAGTGGAAAGGGAAAAGGTAATAGAACGAAATGGAGGAAGCAAAAGAGAAGAGGACGTTTTGAAAAGCCACCAAGCGCGATTGATTGACTTCAACAGCTCTTTGGTTACGAAATGACAGTAGAAAACAACTGAACCGAAACGCACTGCTATTTGCGACTTGAGAACGGTCTTGCATGCGAACTTCTCCCCTGTTCGCTTGTCTTCGCAGAGCCGCACCACCCCGAAATGGCCTCGCCCCAGCTCCTTTCCGAGCCTGAACCGAGCCTCCAGGCTCGGTTTCCCCTGCTCCGGTTCCCCCCAGTCACTCCGCCCACAGACCCGACTTCCGCAACCTCCGCCGTTTCCGTCACTGTCGCCCTTCCCTCCGCTGCTGTAGCTTCCTGCGCACTGGCCGTCTCCGCCACATTCGGTGAAAGAGCCGACGCCGCCATATTCCACGCCGCAGATATCGCCGCGTTCGGCGCCGCCAGCCCGACAGTGGCGGCGTGCTTCGCGGAGTAGATCGTACACGTGGCAGCGTATGGCGGATCCATCATCCCGGGCTGGCTCCACGGGCAGGGAGCGAGCGGCTTGAGCGCTGACATGGATGATGTCCCCGAACACGTGGAATGATGAATCTTGCTGACGTGGCTGTACGGTTTTGCTGAGCTCGTTTTTGTCACAGTCGTTTTTATCACGCGAAGGTACTTCGCCCACGGCCTGACAGTCTCCCCTGCGGCTCTGGCTCCTTGGACTGGGTTGACCAGGTTGACCGTATTGACCGGTTCCAGCGGGCTGACCAGATTGACCGCATTGACTTGTTCCAGCGGGTTGACTTGGTTGACTGGTCGAGCCGGCTCGCCGCCTGTCTGCCGTGGCGTCAGGCGCAGCCATTTCATGTCGCGGCGGCACGGACAGACATGAAAGTAAAGAGCGGCATCAAACGAGCCGCATTCACTGAGATTGCGGCGCGATATACTCCAGAAATTCTATAAAATTCGAAGATTTGCGGGGACAGGGTTAAGGAGAAATTGCACGAGTGATGAGTCGCAGCAGTCACGCGAGTGGGTGGATATCTACGATGCTGAGAGATGCGACTGTTGAGAATTCTCTAGAAAGGTGCGCTGGGAGGAAAGCCATGGATGGAAGCGCCTCTTTGCCACCGAGAAGCATAGGAAAGCCATGGCTGGCAAGGGGACTGCTATTCACGGGAAAGTATTGCGTAATTTGGGCCTAGTATGGTACTTATTGTGGAACCGTCTCCTGCGAATCGAGCTTCGCCCAGAAATCCTATCAGTTGGAGTGGTGCGGACTTGGACTACCCCGCTTAAACTAACAGATTAATACAGGTCGAAGTGGGTCCGCCACGCTGTAAAAAAACGGCCCGTTTTCTGCCAATGTGACAGGAGGGAGACTGTGATTAGTGTAAGGCTGCTGACTGGATCCTGGCGAAGTCTGAGGCTAATGAAACAGCCGACTGACCCTGCGAGTGGGCTTATTGTCCTGTGGCGTCAGTACTGCGTGCTATTGCGCTTGCAGAGGTAGTGGTCAGGTTGAGGGGAAAATGGCTGGACAACGCACTATAGAGGAAGAAAGGCGGCCGTCTTTTCCAGGCCGTCGATGTTGTCGCAGAGGTCCAGTTACTGCGATGTATGTGTATACTACTTTTACGAGTCGCACGACGGCGTAATACGACACTGTTCGCGTGTCGGCCGGAGGTCAGTGGACCGTCGTCCTTCTCCTCACCCACCCTTATAATCGCTACGCAATGAACATTTATTGTTTCGGAAGGTGGTTGTGCGAATGACGAGAACACAAGAGTCGAGACAGGACGCTGCAGTGCAGGTTGTGAGCAAAACCAAAGCGACAACGAGACTTGTGTGAAGTGATGCCTCCGTTGGTGGTTTGGTGGAGGTAACCAGCCAGAAAGTTCGGTTTTGCTTCCGATTGCCAAGGCTCCCTTGGCTGAGATTTGCAGCGCGGTGCGCGAAGGGGTAACGGATGCTGGACCTGAATCGTTTTACCTTGGCGCAGTGCGTTTTTGTACATTTATGTGCGGTTTTGTGCGATAATTTCCTTACCCAGCCAAACGAACATCAAAGCAGATGAATTTTGTGAGCGGGTGGACAAATCCCGCCCTGCATGTTGATTCAGCTGCACCATTTCGAGAATTCTGTCCAGCACGCAGGGCAACAGCAAGTGGAGGGCGACACAAACGAAGAACGCGATTCGAAATTCGCGCCTCGAGTTAATAGCGCCAAAACTAGTTTGTTCCAATCTTGCTTTGCCACGTGTGTTGATGTGCAAAGACTAGTGGGATGTGACAAACACGAACATGTGATCATCACAACATTTGAGTGCCCTTTAGATGTATTAGGTACACTTCCATAAGCCCATCAAACGAATTAACGTCATTCCAAATAGTTAACTCTGCCTTGTCACATTCTTCCCCAAAACCCATTCTTCTCTCTAAATCATTTGAATGCTGATTCGAACAGGATGTGGAATAATCACTGACCACTATCAGCCTAAGCTTGACAAGTGACACTGAATGCTGAGTTTAAGCACACTTCTGCCCACTGCAGACAGCAAATGAGACAATACCAGAAATGCGACGCCCAGCCTATGTTTGAAAGAGTCGCCATACAGGCGCAAACAAAATCCCATTCCGCACTTGAATTCAAGTTGACTTAAAGTTGACGCATAAGTCCCATCATGCAGAAGCATCATTCTAACAGAAGCCTGATCATGCATCAGGTTCTCAAAGCTCTTGATCGCCTTATCAGCATCCGCACTTGAAAGCAAAGAACGGTATCAGTTGTACACAAGGTCTTATCAAGGAGAGCTTTGAGTAGACTCACAGGTCACTTCACACAACAGCATCACCACGCAGAGGCTTCATCAAGCATCAGCTTATCAAAGTTCTTAATCGCCTCGTCAATGCTCGCCAGCTCAGCCGCCAGCTTGGCAGCCTTGCTGGCATTCTCCTCTCGCACGTTTGATGGCACCTTCTCCTCGTACCCCGGCACACCCATCTTCTTGGCCAGAGCCTCCTGCAGCCTGGTGATGGGTGAAACGACAACAGAGAGACAATGCAGAGCACTACAGTGAGCGCCTGGAAAACAACCTTCTCCTCGTACCCCGGCACACCCATCTTCTTGGCCAGAGCATCCTGCAACCTGGTGGTGGGTGAAACGACAACAGAGAGACAATGCAGAGTACTACCGTGAGCGCCTGGAAAACAACCTTCTCCTCGTACCCCGGCACACCCATCTTCTTGGCCAGAGCCTCCTGCAGCCTGGTGATGGGTGAAACGACAACAGAGAGACAATGCAGAGTACTACAGTGAGCGCCTGGAAAACAACCTTCTCCTCGTACCCCGGCACACCCATCTTCTTGGCCAGAGCCTCCTGCAGCCTGGTGATGGGTGAAACGACAACAGAGAGACAATGCAGAGTACTACAGTGAGCGCCTGGAATTCAACCTTCTCCTCGTACCCCGGCACACCCATCTTCTTGGCCAGAGCCTCCTGCAACCTAATAAATGGAAGAAAACACATGCATTTCACAACATGAACTAAGGGTACTAGTTCGTTTGCCAGTCTCCTCTCGCACATTCGCTGGCAGCCTGGCACTTTCTCCACGTATCCCGGCTGCACGGCACACCCATCTTATTCGCACGCGCTTCCTGGAGTGTGGTGGGCAGAAGACAAAAGCTGCGTATTTTTTAGTCGACTCAAACGCCACCTTGGTGGTTTAAAACGGCTACAAGAAAAAGACAATGTGAAGTGTAGGGAAATCTGAAGAGGGGACTCAAAAGCGACAAGTCGGAAAGCAAGAAACTCACTTGGCGGTTTCGCCCTTGCGCTTGCCCAGCTTCTGTGCCTCCGCCTTGAGGTCCACCATGCCTCTCAGCAGCACTGGCAGGCCCTCATCCACTCACACGACTCAAGAGAGACACGTGGCAAGCAAGAGGAGGTACTCACTTGGCTGTTTCGCCCTTGCGCTTGCCCAGCTTCTGTGCCTCCGCCTTGAGATGCACCATGCCTCTCAGCAGCACTGGCAGGCCCTCATCCACTCACACGACTCAAGAGGGACACGTGGCAAGCAAGAGGAGGTACTCACTTGGCTGTTTCGCCCTTGCGCTTGCCCAGCTTTTGTGCCTCCGCCTTGAGATCCACCAAGCCTCTCAGCAGCACATGCAATGCCCCGACAGTATGCTCACACCAGCAAGGCCCCCTGTGCCCCGACAGTACTTACTTGGCTGTTTCGTTCTTGCGCTTGCCCAGCTTCTGTGCCTCCACCTTGGCATCCACCATGCCTCTCAGCAGCACTGGCAGGCCCTCATCCACTCACACGACTCAAGCGAGACACGCGGCAAGCAAAGGGAGGGCACTGACTTGGCGGTTTCGCCCTTGCGCTTGCCCAGCTTCTGTGCCTCCGCCTTGAGATCCACCATGCCTCTCAGCAGCACTGGCAGGCCCTCATCCACTCACACGACTCAAGAGAGACAAGTGGCAAGCAAGAGGAGGTACTCACTTGGCTGTTTCGCCCTTGCGCTTGCCCAGCTTCTGTGCCTCCGCCTTGGCATCCACCATCCCCCTCAGCAGCACGTGCACTGAAAGACTCTCATCCACTATCGCCACTGCACACCCTGCTGGGGCTGATTCCCCTGCTGGGAGCACCTGAAAGGGAAGAGAAAAAGGGGTAGCGGGGAGAGGAAAGGAGCTGTGTGGGGCAGGTTGTAGCAGCAGTATCAGCAGCAGCAGCATGACCTCACCACCACCATCCCCCTCAGCAGCACGTGCACTGACAGACTCTCATCCACTATTGCCACTGCACACCCTGCCAGGGCTGATTCCCCTGCTGGGAGCACCTGTGATGGGAAGGAACCGAGTAGTGGGGAAAGGGAAGAAATCGTGGGAGGTTGCAAAAGCAGCACCAGCAGCAACAGAAGAACCATCCCCCTCGGCAACACGTGCATGGACGGGCTCTATCCACTATGGCCACTGCACACCCTGCTGGGGCTGATTCCCCTGCTGGGAGCACCTGTGATGGGAGAGAGGCGAGGGAAGGGGGGACAGAGGAAACGGAGAGTGGTGAGAGAGAGGCAGGTTGACGCAGCATCCACCATGCATCTGCAGCATCCACCATGCATCTGCAGCATCCACTTACCTGCAGCTCTGCGAGTGTGGCAAGGGTCTTGATCTCCCCCACAGCAGCTGTCACAGCAGCAATGGCCGCCTCAGACTTGCACTGAGCATACGCGGTGGGCCGCTGCTTGGGCTGCAGCGCATAGGCCATGTGCAGGGAGCGGATGGAGCGAACTGCACTCTCTGCTATCGCCATCATTGCTTCAGCTTCTGGGTCCGCCCACTCCTGCCATGGGTGCAGAGGGGGGCAGAGGGGTGCGACGGTAGGAGAAGAGAACATGACATTCAAAGTTCCGCCCATTGCTCGTCCTGCAGCGCATAGGCCATGCGCAGGGAGCGGATGGAGCGAATGGCGCTTTCTGCCGTTGCCATCATTGCCTCTGCTTCTAGGTCCGCCCACTCCTG